CAATTTTGGCAAGAGTTGATAATTTTCATTACCAGTTGGTGAATGCCGCGAAAGTAGGTAAATCGTAGATGTAATAAATCGACTATTGAAGGAATGAGAAATGACAACGAAAACGTTTTATTAAAAACCAGGTGTCAAATTCTTGACAGAACTGCTTTCTAGGAAGCTAAAAATATGCTTGTATCTATTTAGAATAAGAATTAGATATACTGGACAGGAATGTTAATTTTTTAAAGGAACCCCGAGTGGAATCCGCAATCTGATAAGAGCTCAAATAACACAGAAAACTTCCCAGTGCATACTGCTGACACGCCTTATACGATACTACCCGTTTGAGTTGGAAATTTTTATTATTGAGTTGGCAAAATGTCATGTCTGCTCCCCCAATTTTTTTGTCTAGGTCCGTCCCTGGTTTGAACCAAATAGCTTCAATCGTTTGGCAGGGGCAGAGAAGCGTGACCCCACGAGGTCATTGGATGTGTCCCATTTTCAATAGGCTTATTACATGTGGCATAGAGGTCAACTGTTTTTTTAGGCAGGATTGAAAACCGGCTTTGCCGAATCTTGTCCTTTTGAATACTTAATAATCAATAAATATTATTATTATTATTATGTGCAAAGGTTGAAACAAATCGGTTCAAGCGTTTGACAGTTATCGTGTTCACGGACAGACGGACAGATGGGCACCATCGACTCCCCTATAAAGCTTGCATCGCTTTGCTCTGCCGCTTAATAAACCCCTAAAGTTGGTGTAAAAAAGCAGCAGAGCACATCGGTTTGACCCTACGGGAACATTGAATTCAACCATTTTCAATAGGATTGTTAAATTGTGGCATGTAAGTCAACTGTGCAAAGTTTGAATCGAATCGGTCCATTCGTTTGGCAGTTATCGTGTTCGCGGACAGACAGACGGACACCATCAACTCCCCTATAAAGCTTACATCGCTTTGCTCTGCCGATTAATAATTGTTTGTAATAAGGGTTTAACAAGTAAATGTGCCCAACAATATAGTCAATGGAAAATAGAGGTAGATAACCGATGATGAGGTAATAAAGCGTCTCTTTATCGTTTGTCAGCAAAGTGTAGATTTCCCGAAAACATAAAACGTGTTTTTGCTAGGGTTTTGGAGCGACCTGCTACCGCCGTCAGCCCGAACCCGGCATCGATCTTATAGGTGAAGAGACAAAGTTTTCTTACCATGCTATTTCAGAAACTGAACCCCATAAATTAAATATCTATATTTAGAATTAATAAGTGATGGGAGCGACGACATACCGCCTCTCAAAATTTACCGCCGGGGGCTAATAGTCCCATAGCCCCCCCCCCCCTAAATCCGGAACTGGTCAATCGCAAGATGGATCCGCGCCATGCTCGTAAGCAGGGCCATTATATCCTTAATTCTAACGACGGAGATGAACTTCTCGGCTACTAGACGGACTCGTGTGGTTTACAGACGGATCCCTAACGGAAAGGGGGGGAGAGAGTATGGACATGTATGGGGATCGACCGAGAGCTGACGATTACAATTGTAATAAAAGATCAAAAAAACATTTTATTTATTGGGTAGGCTTCCCTCTCAATTCCAGGCTCAGTGGCAGCAACCAACTGAACAATCCAAGGCCTTCTTAACAGGGCCCCTTGGCAAATCTGGCTTTTCTAAGCTTCGAAAACCGAATAAAGGCGAGGTTAGGTCGATCATTGTGGTCTTCACGGGGCAGTGGATGGTCATCTATCACCTGCATGGCATTGGGCTTGTAGGAGAGCCCACGTGCAGGTTCCGTAGAGAAACAATTAACTACCGAGCATGACCCTTGATCAGAGACGGACACCAGTTCCTTGGTGATAGTTATCTGGAACCAAGAAGAAGGGTGAAGCAACTTAGGCTAATCAGGGTTTACTGAGAGGAGTGAACTTATAGTTGCGAAATGGAGGTGGTAAGTTAGATATCTTTTCTTTTAACGGCGAAGGAAAAATGAGGCAGTTGCATTTTATTTTGAAGTATGGAGTATCTTTTCCATTCATTTTCTCATAATTATTCAATAAACAAGACAGATTTCGAACATGTGTCTCGAAACATCTTTAAGGTTCCCATAAACGCAATATATTCAAGTATAGAAACAGCAACCCGCCATATAGTAATTTAGGAGGTGTATCGACCCCGTCCCCAAGTGCAATAATAATCTACAATTAACAGTGCCGAAAATTTAACAATACCAACTCGGCGAGTTTCAGGTATACGATTGTAATGCAACGCAGGTAAACCGTAAATGTTATACCTACCTTCCTTTACAAATTTATAGCAACCTCAATATAGTGTACTTCGAGAACAAGCAGGTCAAGAACAATCCATAAATTAACATTTTTAAGCTTTTTCCCCTTATACCAGTCTGTAATTACTGATTATGACCACCCACGAAAATTTACCCCTTTTTATGTTATCTTGGACATATGGTGTACTTCAGATGTTGTTGTTACCTGCTTTTCGTACAACGTCTACGCTAATGCACTTTTACATTCGATAAGCTAAATGGATTGTTGTTCTGTGTAGCAGTATTCAGAAATTGTACTCGGCAATCAGACCTGCTCCGTTTGTTCACACATTGCCCCTTAAAATAGCTACTAAACTTTAACAGAATTAGACTGGCAATTACATAAAACAATGCCCGATTTTACGTGCTTGTAAATGTCCATCATAGTGGTTTTGTATGTAAGAGCCATTTGCATTCCAAACCGAACACTTGACATATTTTGTAATTTCGATTTGGATAACGGAATACTTCATCCCCCTTGCAAGTTCATGCTATATAATACACGCTGTATGTAGTTACCCCACTTTTAATTTATCTTAAATAAATTTTCATCTATAAGTACTTAGTCCTGACTGCAACAATTTCATCAAATAATTACTCTTTTGTGATATTTTGTAACAAAAATACGACTGTTTTGTTTAAATCCTCTGTCGATACAATGCACAGCTTGCATCAATGCAAATAGTACCTACAATTTTCTTCTCAAAGGTATAAAATTATACTTTAACCTGTTCATTTTTTGCTAATCTGCTGGGCCGTATTATCTTTAAAATGCGTTTAGTATTAGTACGCATTCTTATATATGCGATTTTCGCGTAAAAACTACATATAGGCACCAATACAAACTTTTATTACATAATTATGAATTAATACAAACGAAACAAATTGATTTATCGCTCCAATTGTAACTAATTGCGTAGTTGCGAAATGAAATTTAGAAGCATATAATATGGCAACAGCACAATTACACCAATAAATTATTAACTATTATTGAACGATTCTAACAGTACCGTAACATTTTTCATCAGTAACCTTTTATTTATTAGTTATATATAGATTCAATAGAAATTTATGATCCAGTCCGTATTTTATTTACGGAGCGTATACTTTCTTTTCTGATTTTTCTGGCTATTGAACCTGAAAAACAAGCCCCGGATTTCTAAAATCTTCCAATTTTCTTTACAGAGTATGAAATCTCTATTGTGATTTGAGTTCTTTTGTGTAATTCCATATTTCATGGGTTAGAAGGTAGGTATCTGCTGTCGTCGTCGTTCCTGTTTGTTACATTATTTGTCTTGGAGAAGAAAAAAAACGGCGCGCATTCGATATTTAGTTACACCTCGAGAAAGTGTTTTCAAAAGAATGCCGTTGCAAAAGTATCTTTACCTTAGAGATAATACATCAAATGGAAAATATATGTAAATTCTTAAAATACTCCTTGAGAATAAAGTTTCGCAAGTTAAATTGAAATTGATTGTAAAGTTTATGCAATCTGCGACGATGACATCCTCTCAAAGTGCTCAATACAGAAACTTTTATTTTATTTCAATTTAATACGAAGAGCGACGTACGAATAACCGTAACGATGTAGTTGACACCGAATTCTTTTCACCTCCTTTCTTGTGCGAATCAGTCACATTCACGAAGCTAAAATGTGTACTTATTTATTCAGTGGGGTGACTTGAAAAAGGTGACGCTAAAAAGGAAATTAGGAGTATCCGATCCGAACTGTTTTTTGCAACGTGAAAATTACTAAATATATAATAGATCGTAATGTAGAATTTGAAATAGTGATCCTAAACACTTCAATTCTAGATCTCTATGATACCCGTACTCCAATAATTTCGGCTCTAAACAATTACCATATGCAGGGTGTCACAAGTATATAAAAAAGAAAAGTAGCAGATTGATACGGGTAAGGGGAACGAGAAGGAATGTGAAAAATAGTTGAATTTTTAATGTAATTGTACTTTCAGTAGTCGTTAGCGAACTGTAACAATCAATACATTTCTGATGTATTCATAATAATTGGTAACCTCGACGAAGCAACATGAATAATAACGATGATAATGATCCAGGTACGGCACCAGCGGCAAACAATCAGCTTTCAAGGAGTTTTGACTCAAGTAAAGACTTTCCGGAAAATTAACGTATTCTACAAAATGCAACCATATATTCTGCTTTGGACACTCGAGCAGGTGAACGAGATGTTGTCTTTGGATATAAATAATCCTAATACCTACCACTAAAAAACGCAATTATTATTCGTTTCACTGAGAGCAGTGAAACATCCCGGCAGGGGCGCCGACTCCGTGGGTGCTCCGGGGCTGAAGCACCCGCGAGAATTTTCGCATGGGTGCGGAGCACCCATAAGCCAGGATGCAGTGCTTTTGTGCTTTTTCTCCGTTTAACCGAATAATTTTTCGACACGGAGTGTTTCAGGTGCATGATCTGCGCTGCGCAACAGGTAGGGGGGGGATATTGCCGGGCGCAGGTCGCAGGACGACGCAGGCCTTAGTTTATTCGTGCAATTCGTGAAGTGAACTGTGAAGATTTGGAGCCAAATATATTTTTTTCCTAGTGACAAAATGACTGTGTGATTGGTTGTTTCGTGCTTTGATTGATAGGACTGGCGCCTGGCGGCACTATTCTTTTTCTCTCACAACGTACCACATATTTATCGCGACAAAATGGACAAATTTGTGATCCGTGCAGGCCGTGCAGCAGCATCGAAAATAATTGATAGTTCTCCCACGAGTTCTACGTCAACATGTAGCGCGGTGAAAGATGCCTCAGCCTTGGGCAATTGTGACGATGCTACTGCTAGTGACATTAGTGTTCAGAAACAGAATACAGCAGAAAGTGGAAAAAGGGGGCGTTCTTATCAAGAACAGTGGAAAGAAAAATACGGTTGGATTATTTTTATTTGCGTTATCTAATGGTTCAGGGATTAGCAATTCGTGGCCATGTCGATGAAAATTCCAACTATCGTGCATTATTGGCTTTGGTTGCCGAGGATAATACAGATTTGGCATCTTGGCTTCAGCGTTCTAAATACAAGTGGATTTCTCATGATGTTACCAATGAATTAGGTTCAATTATGGCTCATGAGGTGTTAAAACACTTAGTGAAACTCGTGAAAGATAGAGACGCTCCATATTTTTCTGTCTTAATTGATGAAACTGCTGATGTGACCAATCATGAACAGGTGTCTATTTGTTTCCGATTTGTAGATGACGATTTTGAGATCAACGAAGTCTTCTTTGGTTTTTATAAGACTGAATCCACCACTGCTGAAACTTTGAAAAATATTTTGCGTGATGTTCTCACTCGTTTTGATATTGATATTAAGTTTTGTAGAGGCATTGCGACTGACGGAGCGGCGAATATGACCGGTGCTTTATCGGGTTTGCAGGCAAAAATTCGAGAAATCGAACCACGAGTTATTCAAGTTCATTGCTTAGCCCATTCGTTGAATCTCGTTGTTCAAGAGGCAATGAAAGTACAGTCAACTGTGAGAGACTATCTCGCAACTGCTAAGGATCTGATAACATTTGTGTGTGCATCTCCAAAAAGACAGGCCATGTTTGAATCCCTACAAATGTCAGATGATGATACCTTGGACAATGTAACTCAAACTCATCGGCTTCGCCCTTTTTGTCCAACCAGATGGTGCTGCCGAATAAGTTCTTTGAAAACGATTATACAAAACTACGAAGAACTTGTATTGTTTTTGACTGAAATTGAAGGTACCGACAGATCTGATGTTGGAGCAAAAGTGAATGGCTTCTTGAAGCATTTGCAGTCTTTTGAATTCATTTTTATGTCGTGTTTTTTAATAAAAATTCTTGATCCTGTAGAAATGTTGAACGCTGCACTGCAGAGTTCTTCATTGCATCTACAAATGGCTATGAATAATGTAGATAATACTAAAGAATTAATACAATCCTATCGAACTGATGAGCATTTTGATGAGATCTGGAATTCTAGTTTAGGAATGGCCGAAAAATATCAAGCTGGTGAACCAGAACAGCCAAGAATGAGGCAAGTGCCAAAAAGGTATGATAGTGGCGCACAGCCCACTAGATTTTTAAGTCCGAAAGACTATTACAGACAAATTTACTATCAAGTGGTAGACACAGTGATAAACTCCATCGATGATAGATTTACACAAGCGAGTACTTCTCATTTAAAGCACGTTGAAAGTTTCCTTCTTAGAAAAAATAAGGAAGATGAAGACCAAGACTATGTGACCACATTTTACAAAGATGACTTTGATAGCAACCGTCTGATTTTGCACAGAGATATGCTCTTAGATATTCTGAAGTCAAAGAGTGTTTCACCTAAACATTTCGGTGATTTAGTGGAGTACATAAAGGCCAACGAAAATATTCGAGAGCTGATCCCAGAAGTAGTCAAACTTATTAAAATAACCCTGACAATTCCTGTTTCAACATGTACGGCGGAACGATCTTTTTCCAGACTGCGGAGGTTGAAAACCTATTTACGCAACAGTATGACTCAAGTTAAATTGAATGACAACGCAATCATGCATGTTTATAGAAAGCTTGGGAATCTATTAGATCTTAGCTTTGTGGCGGATACTTTTATCAAGCGAGCATCTGTCCGTCGGAATACATTTTACTTAGGTACATGAGAAGTAAATTTATTATTTTTAATCGATAGGTACTTATTTGTAGTATTGTGGAATGTAGTTGTACTTGTACTGCACTCTTCTTTATTTTATTTGTAGGTACTCTTCTACTCTTATTTTTTGCTAATAAATCTTAAAACAGTTGTTTACCGTCGCATTTGTTTTATGCTTATTCATTAATCATTTATTTTTTTCTCATTCTTCAGCTAAAAACTGCGTTTAAAGAGTTTCAAAATTTAAACATCGAAAGAGGACCTTTTGACCCCTCGTAAACCGAGGGAAGGGGGAGGATACTCGACTTTCCTCCTAAGCCCCCTCTTTAATGGCCTCGAAACTGAAAGTGAGCACCCATGAGAATTTTCAAAACTCGGCGCCCCTTGGTTAGGGTTACATAAACATTCCTGATATAACAGTTCGAGATCACAAACCGTTAAACCAATTGCTAAAGAAAATCTCAGATTGGTGGTCTGTAACAGAAAACTCTTTCAAAGACTACAAACGACTAGGCAAACTAAATTATGTTGTTACGTTACACAGACGCATATCGTCCTCAAACCCACAAACATTGCTAGTAAAAGCTCTTCAATTGAAGATGTATCGCAACAAGTGGATATGCTCGACCAAGTCAGTAAAAAGAATTATAATCCACAATTTTTGCCATAACATCTTTCTAGCCCCACTACAGAAGATTAAAGAAAAAGTGTTTGACAGCCTTTAATGCCTAATGTAGGTACAAACTACCCAAAATTTAAACGAAATCAAAAATAACCGTTTGGCGGAAAAAAATATTGGAAAAAATAAAGTCCTTTCCTAATCCAATATAGCAAAATCTCATGCCATGTGTTTTCTGGTTTTGTACACTCCAAGGTTTAGACCGATTTTTGTCTATATTTGCTAGGCATATATAAGAATAGGTCGTAAAAGTATGACTATGACATAAAATCAAAATAAAAACAAGGCATAACCCCTTATTGTCGGCATTATTTCCAACTAAAAGGGAACACCCCAGGTTTACATAGCATTTTCCCCCCTTAAATAACGTACATTGCTCCAATCACGCCCCCCCTCCCCACGGGAAATTAAAATCATTGGAATTGTGTATTTTTGGCAAATTTACCAACTGAACTTCTTTTAATAGAGCGGGTATTACCTTTGACTTCCGGACACAATCGCACAATAGTTATTTACATAAAAGTCAGGAAAATGACACATTACTGGCGAGGAAATATTGAAGTGCGAGGCGAGTACTTTAATTTCCGAGTAAAGTAATGTCATTTTACTGACGAGTTTTGTATTAAATTTCAAATATAACATTTCAATTTGTATATAAAACTTTTGATTAATGTGAATCTGTCAGTGATGACAGGAGTCATTATAGACAGAAACGTCACATGCGGCAGGTAAAGTGACGATGCGGCCAGTAAAGTGACAAGCGGCAGGAAACGTAGTCTGCTCTGTCTCTGTCATGGAACTCAAATTTCCTGACAGAAAGTAAGCATGAAATTGAAGGTTTCAGGACGATTTTGGGTAAAAACAATTTTTTAGTCAACTGCCAAGATCCTCGCATTACTTCGTCATCCAGATATCCCTGAAAATAGAATCCTATCATCCCTAATCTTTTTCCTAAACTGTTTCACTTCTTGTTTTAATTTCTCTCTCCCCTTATCTAATTTCACCCAAGATCTTTCTATATTTCTCGATTACTAAAATTTGTTTACTCTTTTCATTTCTAATTGAATGACTCAAATAATCATTTCCTACTCTTAAAATCTGTAACGGTTAGCCAATCCTTTTAAATGTAAGCTTATTCTGGTTCCTGAAGTTATCATCCTCTTCTAAGCTACACAAATGCCCTTTATTCACAATTGCTGAATCCGAATCTAAATTTCCTAAATCACTTTTACCATAGAATTCCCAAAAAAATTCTCCCTCATTGGGTTACCTGCAGTCTCATAATCTTTTTCTAACTCCTTCTCCTCTATTCTATTCCTTGATAAAACATCCACAATTAAATTATTTTTCCCTTTCATGTATTTACATACCTAATTTCAATCAAATTCTCTTGTCAAATTCCACCCCTACAATTAATCCTATTATCCGTAAAACTTCCTATTGAACGAATACAATCTTAACTTTAATTCCGGCTCTCCTAAAATGCTTCCAATAAAACAACTAACTGACTTCGACCCTTTCTCTACTAAAACCCCTTCATCGTCTTTCTTCTGTACCTCAATTTGATTCTCATCTTCTTCATAGATTTCAGTTCCTCGTCTTGCCTATAAACTTCTTCAATCTCGACTTTTTTCTTAACTTTTTCGATCTCAATCTCATTTGATCTGCGTCTGGTTAATGGCTTCGTATTTTTTTCTTTAATTACCTGCTTTTGTTCTTCTATCTTGTCCATTCTTATTTCCTTTATTTCCACAATATTTGCATCCATTTTTTTATTATTCGACTTCATTTCATTATAATTTAACTCTTCATTCTGTTCTTTAATAAATGCCATAAGCACAGCAAAACTTCCATCCTATATAGTCGATATGTACTTCGAT